TGAATATCAGAAGCACAAAGTGAAGCTTCACTGGCAGGTTATTATGTCCATTCATGCAACTTAATCCGTCATAGAATAACATACATCATGACACTATTCGGTGCTGTTATACTGTCAGTGTCATAATATTTTTTGGAATAAACTTGTTGTCGTTGTTAAATCCAGCTTTCATCTTAGACAGCTGGCGAAAGTAAAACCTCTCCTTTCTCATGAACAGCTTGAGACAGTAATTCATGCCTTCGTCATATCCCGGCTCGATTACTGCAATGCACTTTACTTTGGAGTTAGCCAATTCTCCATTAAGCGTTTCCAGCTGGTCCAGAATGCTGCTGCTCGCCTCTTGACTGGTACTCGTAAGAGGGAGCACATAACTTCGACTCTGGCATCCCTTCACTGGCTCCCTATACATTTTAGAGTTCTTTTCAAGTTCCTATTATTTGTTTTCAAATCTTTAAATGACCTCGCCCCACCTTACCTCTCTGAGCTCATCCGCCCCTACACACTTGCCCGGCGCCTCAGGTCTGCGGACCAGACATTATTAGAAGTACCAAACTACTAAACGGAGGCTCAGAGGGGATTGAGCCTTTTCCGTTGCTCGTCCCTCTCTCTGGAATGACCTCCCACTGAACATTCGGCAAGCCCCCTCGCTGCCCATCTTTAATAGGGACGAGGAGAGGGTAATCAGCAACTAGTTGCACCTGCGTGATGGGAATCCGTCGCAGAGACCTGACTGGACCCAGTCAGCAAAATTGGTCTGGCCCAGCTCTGGCGCGGACACGGCACGACACTCGGCCCACATACCGCAATGAATGACGGTCCTGCAGTGGCCCGGGTCTGGCATCCATGATCCGGGCCGCATTCGGCCCGGATCTGAGCCGCATTGTATAACCATATCCGACCCTACTCCGGCCCGACGCTGGGCCAGAACAGGTTCCTGATATCAGCCTTAATTCAACCTCAACTAAGCCACATCTTTCATGAGCCATATTTGACCCACATTAAAAAAAAAA